ACTCAACTCATAAATTAGCAATTACTACAGCTCCTAATCAGATTATTTGTAAAACCATCTCAAGGCTGGCTGCCGATCCAGATTAATTTTTCGTATCATCGCCTTTACATTTCCACCCTTTGGGGTTCGCAAAGCCCGCTCTCTGCGGGGGTTTTAAGGCATCAGTTTTGTCATAACTTACCGATATTTAATAAAACAAATGAGGGCTTCTTACTAAAAATAAACTCGTTTCGGATTGAAAAATAATAATAATTATAGCTTAATTTGTAATAAATTTAATTATGTATTGTGGACAACAATTAGGAGTTAAATATACATGGTCATAACCGTCTGAGAGGGGGTTCTAACGATGGTAAAAAAAAATGATTGGACATATTTCTTTTATTTGAACCAATGATGTAATGGAAGTACAAAAGGTCCAATTTCCGGCATCGGGGAGGGTAATCCCCGAATAGGGATACTTTTCGAACCATGACTCAAGAGTTGGAAAGGTTTCAAGTCGAGAGAATTCCGAGGTCTAGAAGAACCTAAAAGGTGGGCGGGGTGGCCGAATGGGCTAAAGCGTGTGCACTGCACCGCCGGCAACCTGACATATATGAATCAAAGATATAAAAATAGTCACGAGTTCGCGTCCCGGTACCGGGGGAGTATCTCCGCCCACACTCCCTGGCCCGGGAAAATCCCGTATAGCCTTAACGGCGAGGAAGGGAAGGACCCCTCCCAAAAAAAAAAAAAAAAAAAAAGAACCTAAAAGGATCAAGGGAGCAGTGGCATGGCGTCCATAGGAAGGAGTGCTAAAGGAAGAGGAAACTTAATAACAAAGAAGAAATTAAATTGATACTTAGTCCTAAGTGGATAATTCGTAATCTATGTATGTATATGTATATATATATATATATATATATATATATATATATATATATATATATATATATATATATGCATATAGATAGATAGATACTGCCCTACGGTGCTGCCTCCTATCAAATCAACATGTTGCTTATTTACTGCTGGGAACACATACCAGAGCAACAAGATATCAACATGTTTTTTAAGATGTGGTGTATACATGGTGTATACATTATTTGATTTCTCAAGGAAGGAGATGGTCCGCGGTGGCGGTCATAAATAGACTGAATAGTGGCAAAACTATTTTATTAAAAGCCTAAGCACATTTTAAATCTTATAAGTGAATAATGACTAGTATATTACATCATATTATTTTTAACTACTTTCAGTTTTAATTGATTAATTCAATTTAATTATTCATTATTTTAAGTTTTTCCGCTTTGTACCATCTATCTTTTTATTTAATTTTAATTTTATATTTACATTCTAAATTGATATATGATCATCCGTTTTCACTTTGTATTCATTTTACTTTTTAACCATATCTCAATATTATTTAATATTTAAATGTAATTTTCTTACATATGTACAATCAAATATAATAATAATTATTCATATTTTTTTCCTCTCTATACTGTTAGTTCTGCAATGTATGGTCTCTTATTTCTATATTTATATTTTATTTGTATGTATGTTATACTTCTACTTCTGTTTTTGTTTTTATTCACATTGTACTCTTATCTATGATCATGTAATTCTATTTTATATGTATATGTATGTATTTATAATTTAATATTTCATAGATATAGTATTTTTTCCCTTGTATTCATCCATATCTTGAAAGTTTAGGTACCGTAATTTTCTAGGTTTTTCTCCATTGACCAAACAAGTCAGTATATTTCCCAATATCTGCCCTTGCCCTGATTTTCCAGTTCTATGTGAAACTTTTAGCAGAACACACCTGTAAGTCTATATTTTAATTCTTCTAATTTTATTTACTTATTTATTTAATTTTTTCTTATTTTCTTTCTCCACATTATTTTATATATATTATTTCATATTATATTCTTTTTCCTTTTCTTTCAATTTTCTCCTGTAGATCGGTAGCAGTATATTCACATTTGCATATATTATATATTACACTACAACAATTGTTACCATCTATTTACTTCAGTTTAGGATCTTGTTACTTAGCTTACACTTTTCATATTTTAATGTACTTACTGTTCATAATTCTAATAAGCTTATTCACATTCTTTATATTTTGTTGTCATAATATTATGTTACTTCCACAATTCTCTATATTTTTGTATCTTGTCCGTTTTAGCCTTGAAGATCTGTAAAGTCGGGTCGAAACGTTGGCTGTTAATAAAATAGTTTGGCCACTATTCAGCCTATTTATGACCGCCACCCAGGACCATATCCTTCCTTTATAATGCAACGCTCAACTATTAAATATTCTATTTGATTTTTCAAATATATTTTTGTTGTCAATTCTTTACCAAATTCAAGGATTGAGCTCTCATTATGAAAATCTTCTTCTTCAGAAGAGAAAATATTCACAACTCCTACAAATTATTTGAAAGAGTACTTATTAAATTCCCTACGAAACAAAAATATGTTGGTTTAAAACAGGAATAATTTTCTTTTCTTTGATCGATTATAACCACCGAGAAAATGAGAATTGTTTCCTTCGTCTTATGATTCGTTGCATTATTTCAGTTCCTTACTATTTTGTCGATGACCGATATTCTTTGCGAATTATTCGCACGGACCAACTAGCAATTGAAAAACTCCAAATATTCTTGTGTTGCTAAAATGCAGATAAATAACAAACTCATCAACGATTCACCAATTTAAGCATTATCAGGACTTAAAAAAAAACAAAGTCATATATATACACAAAGAAAAAAAAAGGATAGGTAAAATAAAATATAAATGATAAAAAAAAAAGGAAGGAGAGGGTCCGGGGAGGCGGTCATAAATAGGCTGAATAGTGGCAAAACTATTTTATTAAAAACCAACGTTTCGACCCGACTTTGCAGGTCTTCTTCAGGGAGGTGTGTTCAGCTAGGAGTTTCACTTAGAACTGAAAGTTCTAGTAGAAAGTTTTAGTTCAAAGTGAAACTCCTACCTGAACACACCTCCCTGAAGACCTGCAAAGTCGGATCGAAATGTTGGCTTTTAATAAAATAGTTTTGCCTCTATTTAGCCTATTTATGACCGCTCCCCTCCCCCCTCCCCGGACCATCTCCTTCCTTTATAATGCAACGGTCAACTATTAAATATTCGATAAAAAAATCTCTTGTTTCCTTCATTATGTGATCAGTGGGCTTTGTGTGATATGCAGACTCAAGTAAATGTAATTATTTTCTTTCTATTCTTTTTTTATTTCTACATATATGTGACTTAATAATATATTAAAGTTAAGGAGAAAGCATTCAATTCAAAAGTTGTAAATATTTCATGAAAACATTAATAAATTCTAATTTAAAATAAGGAACTGCTATTCAACCTTATTATTAAGGTTAATTCCAAGATTTGAGATTGCTATTAAGGATTAGAAACTTTAAGGAGCGTTAAAGTAGTAAAATTAATTACTAAGCTAACTGCTAGTAACGAGTCTGCTACTCAATACCAGTTATTTTTAACTGTTATTTTTTTAACTGATAACCTTGAATATATCTCGAACAGCTGGTTAAAATATGTTTTTAATTAATTATTATTTCAACTTTATCAAACAGGAGTGAAATATCTGAACCGAGAATACATAAAAGTACTAAAGCAGTTAAATTAACTACTAAACTAATAGTGATAGTAACCAGTTAGCTAATGGGTTTTTAACTGATAACCTTGATGCTCATTCAGACATCTGGTAGCTGTGATTTTTTATTTAATAAGTTACTATTTTTAGCCTTGCCTTGACGCATAAAATGTCTGAATCGACAATAAATAAAAGGATTAAATTAACTACTAACTTAATAGTGATAGCAATGTGTCAACTACTAATAAGGAGTTATTTTTTAACCTGATAATCTTGAAACGAACTCGAAGAACTGATAGTTATGATTTTTTAAATTAAATAATTTACAATTTTTACTTTTGTTAAAAATAAATAGAATGTCTGAAACGGCAATACATAATAGTGTAAAAACAGTTAAATTAACTAATAATCAAATAGTGATAATAATCAGTTAGCTACTGAATAGCAGTTATATTTTAAATGTTTTTTTTTAAACTGATAACATTGAACTAACTTGAAGAGCTAGTAGTTGGAGTTATTTTTTTATTTAATTATTATTTATTGCTTTGCCAAACAGGTATAAAATATATGAATCGACAATACATAAAAGCATAAAATTAGTTAAATTAACTAGTATAACTAATAGTGACAGTAACGAGTCAGCTACTGAACAGGTTACTGACTATTTTTTAAGCGTTATTTTTTTAAACTGATAACCTTGAAACTATCTTGAAGAACTGGGAGGTATGATTTTTTAATTAAATAATTTACAATTTTTACTTTTGTTAAAAATAAATAGAATGTCTGAAACGGCAATACATAATAGTGTAAAAACAGTTAAATTAACTAATAATCAAATAGTGATAATAATCAGTTAGCTACTGAATAGCAGTTATATTTTAAATGTTTTTTTTTTAAACTGATAACATTGAACTAACTTGAAGAGCTAGTAGTTGGAGTTATTTAATTATTTTTTATAGCTTTGTCAAATAGGTTTATACCTAATCTCTGTACAATACATAAAAGTATAAAATTAGTTAAATATAACTAATAATGATAGTAACGAGTTAGCTACTGAATATCAGTTATTTTTTAACTGTTATTATGAAACCTGATAACCTTGAAGATAACTCGAACAGCTGATTGATGGAATTTTATTATTATTATTTATTACTATTTTTAGTTTTGACAAACAGAAATAAAATGTGTCTGAATCGACAATACAAAAAAGCAAAGAATGTAATCACAGCATGCTGTTAAATATTTACTATTTCTGTTACACAAGATAAGACGCACATTCATGCAAACGTGTAAACAGTGAAAGATAACAAGACGCTTGAAAGCGACATTATTTTTTTTTTTTAGCGTTATTATATATGGTATATTATTATTTATTATACAAACATACTTCGAAAAAGCCTCATTTCTCTCTGGTACTAACTGACCTGCATCCCGCGTATGACTCCTACAACAATTGAAACAGTTCATAAGGAAAGACACTTGTATACACTCGCGATAAACAGCTTGAATTGGGTCTGAGTCAAGAGCTCTTAGTCATCTTCTATAATTAGTCATTCTTACGTCCGTTATATTCCAGCTCGTGTGTTTTAAATAATAACTCAACTTATTTATATTTATGGATACAAATATATATATATGATGTATAATTATTAACTAGAATGGAAATTGTTTAACCAAAAAAATACTGAACTTTAAATGTCAATATAATGAAAAAATACTAAATACTTTAATGACGATTATTGTTACTAAATAAGTTTTAATATATTGAAACGAATATATATGGAAATCATTGTGCATGTTTATAATAAATAGTCTTCCTCTACTCCTATAAGAATAACCAGTCATTGAATAGAAATGAGACGGATGACATGTCGGTGACTCATGAATAAGGTAATTTTAACTTATTTGAATCATTTAATAGGAAAGAATTGAGTAATAATAATGTTGTAAAATAATTAAAGGTGGACATGACACGAATAAGGAATTTTATTATGAGTAGACGCATGCAATAAGCATAAGTGAAAAGGACAGGTACATGATGGGTATTTTAGGTAAATAAAAATAATCTTTATAATTTGAAATATGTAAAGTTAATATATGATTGAAAATTAAAAGAAATGTTTAGACTTGAAAATGGCTCGACAAGCCGAAACGTCGTAATTATGACGAGTAGTCAATAAGTTGACAAAATTTTTAAAAATTGGTGTAAATATGGCTGATAATAAATTAACTTAAAAAAAAAAATATATATATATATATATATATATATATATATATATGTATAATTATTAACTAGAATGGAAATTGTTTAACCAAAAAAAAATATTGAACTTTAAATGTCAATATAATGAAACAATACTAAATACTTTAATGACGATTATTGTTACTACATAAGTTTTAATATATGGAAACGAATATATGAGGAAATCATTGTATATGTTTATAATAAATTGTCTTCCCCTACTCCTATAAGAATAAACAGTCATTGAATAGAAATGAGATGGATGACATGTGGGTGACTCATGAACAAGGTAATTTTAACTTATTTGAATCATTTAATAGTAAAGAATGGAGTAATAATAATGTTGTAAAATAATTAAAGGTGGACATGACAAGAATAAGGAATTTTATTATGTAGTAGATGTATGCAATAAGCATAAGAGAAAAGGACAGGTACATGATGGGTATTTAGGTATATAAAAAGAATCTTTATAATTTGAAATAGGTTAAAGTTAATATATGATGGGAAATTAAAAATTTTTTTAGACTTGAAAATAGCTTGACGAACCGAAACGTCGCAATTGTGATGAGTAGTCTATACAAATTGACAAAATTTTTAAAAATTGGTGTAAATATGGCTGATAATAAATTAACTTGAAAAAAAATATATATATAATTATTAACTAGAATGGAAATTGTTCAATAAAAAAAAATTCTGAACTTTAAATGTCAATATAATGAAACAATACTAAATACTTCAATGACGATTATTGTTACTAAATAAGTTTTAATATATGGAAACGAAAATGGTGATCTACATTATATGAGTCTTTTATTTCCAAAGTGAATCCACATTATTGTTAACAATTTTTCAGGAAACGCAAAAAATTGTATATTCTTTTTCAAATTGTAATTTCAATATTAAAAAAAAAATCATTATTTGAAGATATTCTCGTAAAACATTGATTACTCCAGTAGTAATTACAAACAATTGAAACTTGAACAGGACCCACTTTTGAACAAAAAAAAAAAAGGATGATTTGTTTTGCAGAAAAAAATAGAATATGATTCAGGAAAAAAAAGTTATAATAATTGTACGATAAAAAATTAGGTTTTTGTATACCATAACGATGCAAAAAAAAATGCTTAGGAATGCAACTTTCATTACATTCTTTGAAAAAAATTGCTCCATCAGATGTATCAGATGTTTTTAGATGGGAATCGGTGCTAATCCTCATTTCGATCCCCTTCCAAAATAATCAGGGAACCTCGCCGAATAATTTAAGATTACGTCGTTCTCTCAAAATATCGTTACATGTATTTTCCCTAATCGAACTTTCCGAAAAAAATAAGCCACCAAACTTAAAAATTGATTAAGAACATTTTACACAATGATTAGTCGGTTCTTTAGCCCAGAAATGTTTTTAAACACTCACAGTATCTCACTGGTAAATTAAGACCATTAAACATAAATATCGCTTCAGCTGTTTGCTTAAAAATCGTTACATGTCTCTTAGAGTACAATCCAAACACATAATCCTCGTTTCGCTTTACTTTCAAAGCAATCAGGGCGTCTCATCGAATAATTTAAGAAAACTTAAAAATCGGTCTAGCCGTTCACTAAAAAGATCGTTACCTGTCTTTTAGATAATCGATTAAACATATTTTATTCAATCATGTGGAAGGGTTTTAACTCAAATTATTTCTAAGCACTCCAGTGATGTTACCAAAAAATTGAGCTAACTCTATCTAACCAAAAAGTTAGATAACTTTCCGCGGACAACTCAAAAACATAACTCTGGTGTTGCTTAGTCTTGCCCAAATGCGAGACGGAGACAAGTCTTGGTCTTGCAAACTCAGTCTTGGTCTTGCGCAAGAGTCTAGCAACAGTCTTGCAGTTACTAATTACCATATTACTATAGAGATATTACTGTATTTTTTTAGATAGGAGAAACCTAACTAAGCCCGAATGAAAAAGTAGAGGAGTTAAATGTAAAAGTATATTGGTTATATCAATTATTGACATATAGTAACTAAGATTGTCAATTTTTTTTTTTTTTTTAAACTTTTATTATGATATTTACAACTGTATTAGTATGAATACTTCAAGTAAATTTGTACAGCGAAATATTATTACATGAAACACGCATGTTGAGAAACTACCCACTGGTAGCACTCTAATAATTTGTCTACATGAGAAGATCACGAGGCCATCTTCTTTTCAGACGCCTCGGAGGGTTATCAGGAATCAAAGAGGAAGCAAGGTTAGAAACAAGAGGATTCGGATGGTTATGATGTTTATTATGGAAGGATAGGTATCTGGATTTGGCCAAATCGGAAACATATGGAACATTGAGGTCTTTATGGATTATTTTATTAGTGACAAAGTAAGGAGCATTGAGGATTTTACGAAGGATTTTGGATTGTAAGGATTGGATGCGAGAGAAATTCGATGGTTTAGTGGAGCCCCATAGCTCAACTCCGTAACTCCAAATAGATCCTATTATAGTCAAGTATATGCGTCTTTTTTAATTAAGGGTCGATTATTAGTAACTATTTTGCTCTAATTTGTATTTTAAAAAATAGATTTTTTTTACTAGTCCTGCAAAGTGCAAGACCAAGACCGATATTGGGCAACACTAGTGTTGCTTCGCTTAGTCGAGTAAAAAAAAATTAATTTGAGAAAAAGTGACTGATTTCTTATTTTCTGCCTTTTGAGAGACTATAAAGATATTTAATCGCTGATAAAATAAATATTTTACCTAACAAATTTTTTATGTTATGAAGAATTCTAATCCTGTTGCTGTTTGACGTACATATATTTTCCATAAGACCCAGAGAAGCGACGTTTCGGTCGAACGAACCCTACTTTATAGGATTGTTTATAGAAAGGTGTGTGGACACGACGACAGCTGACGAGGGTCGGGGCTGGATCGAGATCATCTTGTCGGCTCGCTGTTCGACATCCCCTTCCATTCCAACCCTCTCACGTCCGCTCCTTTCTTGTAAAGCTCGCTTAGAGATCTCCTTGGATATCTCCTTATCGGAGCCGTCCGGGAGAAGATTTCGCTACAGTATCCAAAGAGATATAAAATCACCTGAAATCGATTTACATAACAGTGTCTCAGATATTTGTAACATAAAAAGTAAAACCCCGGTCCAGCTTTTCTAATTTGGAAGTTTTATAATTTACAGCGTGTTGGATCAAAATATTTATATATTTCACTTGTAATAGAAATTAGTTAAAGATAATTTTTTTAAGCTTATTAAATCAAGGAAAACGTTAAACCTCAGACTTTGACTACTATACTCACTCCTTTCAAGACGCTCAAAATTAAAATTAAAACATTAAAATTAAAACGTCGGCAAAATTATAATAAAATAATTACTATATTTTAATTTAGTATTTATCTGACCGCACCCCCGACTAACTCCACATAAAATGAAAACAGAAACTATTCACTTACATTTATCTACTAAAGCCTATAAGGATTTACACTTCACATATATACAGAACAGCCAAAACGACCCACATATGACAAACCATAAACCTATCAATCAGAAACGTTTAGTACCATAACTAAACCTCCATGGTACGTCACAAACATTAGTTTTTGAAAGAACGTTTCTCGAGATCTATTCAACTTAGAAAGCTCTATCATGGCTCAAATTGAAGCTTATAGAATACACTACAAAGTAGTTTATGATGATTATTTTCATAGAAATAGATTTTTTATTGATATCTGCAAAAGTTTCAAGTCGGCCGAAAAAACAACTACTTTATTTTGAATTTTATCTTTCGGTGCAACGCTTCCTACCAAGTTCAGCTGAAAATGTTTTTATAGTTTGAGAAGTGTACAGTTTCGTTTCGACATGAAATAAATTGTCTCCAAACGATATAGTTTTTACGCATTTCCATTTCTCCTTCAATGGTAATTTCGAGTTTGCAGATTACTACATATTGCATGGTAAAAATTAGACATTAAAACAACATATGATTAAAATTTTTCTTGAAATAAGTTACAAAACTTTAACTGGGGTTTTGGACTATTAGTTCCATTAACACTATTGGACACTCGTGACGAACACCTATAACATAGGTCGAAACGTAGGCAAATAATAAAGCCCCATTATCATGTATAGGTTATGATAATTATCTTCACGGCTTTAGCTGTTTCCTAGAAATTAGCGAGATTATATTATCGGACGAATAAAACATGATTTTTTAACGTTATCTTCCTTTATCTTCTTCTTCATCTGGGTTGTGTATAGTTTCATGTTGGTACACACTTATCGTGAGTGTGTGACGTCTTTGAATGCATTACCAAATTTCCGATATGCGGTTTTCGACGGATC